ATTGAAGTCTATGGCGGTTCGCCCGGTTCGCCCGTTCGCGAACATTTGCGGAAGTTCGCGTTCACCGTCTGCGAACCGAAAATTTTATGTTTGCGACATCACTAATGAAGAGATATAAGAGGGGCTAGAATTGTTCAGTACTTTATATGTATGGGTTAGCACTTTGAATTCACTCCTATAGGACTGACAGAGGGGTGAGGTGTGAGAGGACCGACTAGAGAGGAAAATCAATCTGGCAGCAGCATTCATTACAGACTGTTGCGGGGCAATACGGCTTTTGGAAAGACCAATCAGAAGAGGGTTACAATAATCCATGCGGGAAATTATTAGAGCATGGACAAGCTCCTTGGTAGCATCTTTTGTAAGAAAGGGGCGGATGCAGGCTATGTTTTTAAGTTGTAATCTACAGGATTTGGCAACATACTGGATGTGAGGCTCAAAGGTAAGGTTAGAGTCAAGTATGATGCCAAGACAGTGGGCTTGCAAGGATGGACTGATGTGGATACCACTGACTTGAAGCGAGAGAGAAGGATCAGTATTAGGAGAAGGAAAGACAAGGAGTTCAGTTTTAGAGCGATTGAGTTTCAGAAAGCAGGAGGACATCCACTCAGAGATGGAAGAAAGGCAAGCAGTGACACGTTGCAGGACGCCAGGGTAGCGGTCCGGGGAGGAGAGATATATCTGGGTGTCATCAGCATACAGGTGGTAGTGGAATCCAATTAAGGTAATAAGTTTGCAGAGAGAGGCAGTAGAAAGAGAAAAAAGAAGGGGACCAAGGAGAGAGCCTTGGGGGACTCCAACCAAGACAGGACGCAGGGAGTAGGTATCCTTGGAAAAGGAGACACTGAATGAGCATTGGAAGAGATAAGAGGAAAACCATGAGAGGACAGAGTCACATAGACCGAGCTACTGAAGAGTTTGAAGTAGGAGAGCATGATCAACGGTGTCAAAGGCAAAGAGATGCCTGGGATTGCGGGAGCATGAACTAATGAGAGAGGAAAAGTATGACTGTTTGACGAGGGCAAGGGCTGCGCTGTATTAACACAATATGAATCTATAATGGAGAAAGTCTGACTGGGTGCAAGACTTCCTCCAGGAGCGTTCAGCACAATGGGAGCAACTTTGCGGTTGAGGGTGTGTCCTCCTCGAGGTGCATGTTTGGAGTGGGGCTGCAGCATTCAAGGCAGAGTTGAGGGTAGTGTTATATGTGGAGATGGCCAGTGAGGGACAGGAGAAGGAAGGGATCTGTTATGAATCAATATCAGCTGACAGCTGCTGGAGGTCAATAGAATTAATGGGACACTATAGCCACCTGAACAACTTCAGCTTGAGGTTGTTCAGGTGAAAACTATAGCTCCCTGCAGCCTTTCTCATGTAAACACTGTATTTTCTGAGAAAATACAGTGTTTACATTGAAAGCTAGGAGCACCTCCAGTTGCAATCACTCAGAGTAAACCAGATGGACTTCGGAGTTGATGGAGGCATAATATGCCTCCATCCACTCAGATCTGCTGTGCACGAACATCCTGTGATTCAGTATCTCCTCCCACTGCATGCAGACACTGAACTTTCCTCATAGAGATTCATTGATTCAATTCATCTCTATGAGGAGATGCTGATTGGCCAGGGCTGTGTTTGAATTATGCTGGCTCTGCCCCTGATCTGCCTCCTTGTCAGTCTCAGTCAATCCTATGGGGAAGCACTGTGATTGGATCAGGCTATCACATGTCAGCAGACTGCTTGTTTTTCCTGAGTCTAACAGCATGCAGATTTACAGCTTCTGGCTTGAATATAGTAGGATTTGTACTATATTTATGAAGGCATGAGGGGCCCAGGGGGGCTAACTATAGGGTCATGTAGGGTCATGTTAACACTATAGGGTCATGTAGTTGCACTGGTGATTATAGTGTCCCTTTAAGGTACCCCCTGAGTTGAGGGGGGTTAGGCCGAGGTTGTTGCGTGAGGGGGTACTCTAGAGCAAATGATAAGAGGTGGTGATCAGAGAGAGGAAATGGATTGTTGCAGATATTAGATACTGTACAAGCATAAGAGAAAATGAGGTAGAGGGTATTGCCAGCTACATGGGTGGGAGAATTAGCCCACTGCAATAGCCAGAGGGAGGAAGTATTTGAAAGTAGTTTAGAGGCTGCTGAGGTCATGGTGGGTTAATTGGAATATTGAAGTCCCCAAGAATAAGGGATGGAATATTAGAAGAGAGGAAGTGGGTTAGCCAGGCAGCAAAGTGGTCAAGGAAGAGGAGAGGGAAACCAGGGGAATGATAAATAATGGTCATGTTAGCAGAGAAGGGTTTGAAAATGTGAATTGAATGAATTTCAAATGATGGAAAAGAGAGGGAAGGGGGGGGAGGGCAGAGTTTTAAAGGAGCAGTGGGGTGAAAGCAGAAAATCTACACTGCCACCTCTACTCCCAGCTTGTCTTGGGTTGTGGGTAAAGTGAAGACCACCAAAGGATAGTGAGGCAGGGGTAACAGTATCAGAGAGCCATGTTTCTGTTAGTGCAAGTAGGTTTAGGGAGTGTGAGATAAATAGGTCGTGGATGGAAGTTGATTAAACGGTGCTGCACACAGAGCGTACATTCGAGAGGGCAGCTTTAAAGGAGGAATTATAGCGAGAGTTACATGGAATGAATATTAGATTGTTTTGGTTTCTGGTGTTAGTACCAGGTGGCTTAGTAGTGGAGAGACCAGGAATTGGAGAGACATCACTAGCTGCTAGGAGCAGTAGGATGGAAAGGAAGAGAATGTGGGAGTAAGATTTAAATGTTGGTGATGAGAGCTTGTATTTAGGGGATTTAGGAGGGGTTTGTGAAGAAAGGCTGGATAAATATGAGTAAAGTGCATGTGATGAATACAGAGATGAGGGAAGCACTGAAGATGGTGTCAGCAGGAACAGATTTTAATAATGAGGGAAGTGAGAGAGAAAGCGAAAAATATAAGTGAGAGAATTAGTAGGATAATACGTGCTGTGTTTTTAAGATATGGAGAATTGAGCTGTGAGAATTGTAGGTGAGATTAGGATGGTTAAGGGTTAAAAAGGTATTGTGTGAGTTTAGGTGTGGAGGGCTTGATGGACATGATTGGTTTGTCAGGAAAGCCAGGTAATTTGAGCTATCTATAAATGTAATAAGTATCCTGGGGAGGGTGGGAAATGATCATCCAGAAATGCTACTTCTGCTTAGGGCAAATCCTTGAGGGTTGGGTGCTGTGAGTCCTGGGTGTAGCTGCTTCACTGCTGTATTGGGCCCAGGCTATAAGAGATAATCTAGGGTTAGATAAGGCAGATTGTGGGTCGGGAATCATTGAGGTGTTAAAAACAAAATCAAGGAAAAAGCAGATGAAAGGGAATTTAAATTTAAAGGATCACTATAGTGTCAGGAAAACAAGCTTGTTTTCCTGACACGGTAGCATCCTTAGGACCCCACCCTCGGGGTCCCCCTCCCTTGGCGCTGGAGGGGTTAAAACCCCTTCAGCCACTTACCTTTATCCAGCGCCAGGCTCCCTCGGCGCTGGTGACCTCTCCTCCCCCGCTGACGTCAGCTCCCGAGTGGAGTGGAATGCGCATGCGCGGCAAGAGCCACACACGTATTCAAACAGTCCATAGAAAAAATATTTCTCGATAACTTTCCTATGGACGTACTGCACGCTGGATGTGAATTTTGCATCTAGCGTCACAGAAGTGCCTCTAGCAACTATCAGGAAGACAACCACTAGAGGTTGGCTTAACCCTGAAATGTAAACATAGCAGTTTCTCTGAAACTGCTATATTTACATATGAAGGGTTAAAACCTGGGGGACCTGGCACCCAGACCACTTCATTGAGCTGAAGTGGTATGAGTGACTATAGCGTCCCTTTAAGGATATGAGGGATGGCAGAGATCAGATAGGTAAAAGTCATAAATAGGGAACATCATAAATTAACAAGGCTTAGAGTGCAAGAACTAACACCAGCAAAACAAATGTTTAACTAAACAAGAGTTAAGGATGGAGGGTGCAATAGTCAGCAATTAAGCAGTAATACTGTGGGGGATGGAGATAGATAAGAACAAAATTTAAAACAGAAATCGGAAAACAAGAAGTCTAGGTATTCTCAAGATGATCATCCAGAAATGCTACCTCTGCTTAGGGCAAATCCTGTATGGTTGGGTGCTGTGAGTCCTGGGTATAGCTGTTTCAATGCTGTATTGGGCCCAGGCTCTGCTTAGGGCAAATCCTGCAGGGTTGGGTGCTGTAAGTCTTGGGTGTAGCTGTTTCAATGCTGTACTGGTCCCAGGCTCTGCTGCTAACATATATATAACATTGGGTATTTTTCTTTTATTGCTATGTTGTATTATATCATATCATGCGGAGAATGTTGGACAAATGTACTGTTTTGAGACCCGTATTCCAGTGAGGAATATGCCTTATTTAAAATGTGCAAACTAAAATGTTAAACAAAAGGCTAATATAATAAGTCACTTACTTAATACCAAGGTTTGTAAACTGACATTGCTTGGCAACAACTACACAGCTGATGGGATAAAGACCTCATTCTTTACTCTTTGAACTATAGGATCTCATGCTTTCTTCAGAGATGGAACATATGAAGGTTTTTTTCATCCCATACCCTAGGGGTAGGCAACCTTCGGCACTCCAAATGTTGTGGACTACATCTCCCTTGTTGCTTTGCCAGCATTATGTCTGTAAGATAATTATGGGAGATGCAGGCCAAAATATCTGGAGTTCCAAAGGTTGCCTACCCCTGCCATACCTCATCAAAATGTTGTGGTTGCTTTCAGAAGTACATGGTATTTGCCATTGTCATTTACGTTGACATTCCAAGTGCTAATTCTTTTTCCAACAGGAAAAAATTATTAAAATAATAATAATAATAACAGACAGCAGCAAAATATAATATCACTGTTTTATTAGGTCATGCTCATTCTAGAAAAGACATTAATTGGATCTTAATATAAATGATATTCAGCATTTTAAAGTGTTGTTACACATATATAATCTTGGTAGAAAAGCACACTGTTTCAATCACAATGCAAACCAGAAATGTCAATATGGTATTATGTAATGTGCTAATAAGGCCCATATTGTCACATTTTTTAGACTGCAGGTTTGAAGCAGTTAGTATGAAATATCTTCTCAGACATGCAGTGCGTTGTCCCTGCCTGTCACACACAGAGTTCTTTGTTTGCTCACTACCTGAACTCCAGACAGCTCAACACCTGATGGAAGTTGTTCTGTCTGGAACCTATAACCCCTTCATTGCCAAAGAGCTTAACATCATGTGGCAGACTGATACAATAACGAAGAGAGAGAGCAACAGGAACATAACAGTTATACATCAATAAGCAATTCTTTAAACTTATGTTTGGATAGAACATATTTGATACAGTACATGCTTGTGCTAAATATATAGAACTGTAACAATACACACTTCTTTGTGTGTGGATGGCTATTGTGATTTGCCACACTTTTAACACCCAACCCATGTGTGTGTGAATACATAATTAAAGCAGGCCAATCACTTCTCTGAAAATAAAAGTTCTTAATTATTTTTCACCCTTGTCCATGTTATTGAAGTACTCGAGGTGGTGAAAAGTGCAGATAATGAAAGTAAAAATAAAACACACGTACATCTATAGTGCTTCTGTATCCAGTGTGAAGTCATACAGACCTGACAACTTTGGCAGGTCTGCTAATGTGATTGGGAAGGGTGGGCATGGTGGTGCCAGCAGATGGGCCTAACATGCAATTAGCATTGCAGACAATGTGCCTGCCACAAAAGGGGCACATCATCCCAGAGGATATGCGCCAGCATGACAGCCTGTCTGTAGCCTGTTCATATACCAAACATGTATGCAGCTAATCATGCCAATTATGCTGCACTTTCCTTGAATCCTCCCGACACTGGGTTACAGAATTGCTCTGTCAGGTGATTGGGAAGATTTAAGCAAAATTGTGCAGGTGTGATTTGGTGGGTGTGGTCACATAACGTTTGGGTGCCAACAGCCCTTCTAAACATAAAACAGAGCAGAGTCAGGAGGACTCAGGCAAACTGTTGGGAGGACTGAGGAGGAGTACACATAGAGCCACTGGTATGAGAAATAGCATGGGAGTCCTGAAGTACTTCCTTTCTGGGCATAGTGTCACCTTTAGATCCTGTGTACCACGGTGACACGCATTCTTTACAGCCGACCACATCTTTAGCTATACTAATTGCTTCATGAAAAAAATGTAAATTGTCTTGTGAATCTTTATCTTAAGGTGCCAAACAAAAAGGTAACATTTTGACCCACCATGGACACCCAATTCTTGCTTATGCCTGCCTCAAACCTCTTCCGATTGTGAAGCTGCCAACTTTGGCCTGTTAAAAATTAGTTATATAGAATTGTTTTAGAAAAATAACCCAACCCATAGCTTACTTTTATGCTGTGCATATTGCACAAAAATTAGAATTTTGATAGTTCTGCTTTAGAGGAACACTAGACATCATGATGGTCTTTGCATAAGATATTATATAAGATATTATATAGTAAGCTCATAGGCGGAAAATTAGACTTGTGTCCATCAAGTTCAGCCTTTTTTACATCTGTTTCTGCTGTTGATCCAAAAGGCAAAAAAAGTTTGAAGGGCTTTCCAAGTTTGTAACTGTAATGGAGCTCCAGTACTCAGACGGAGTACCTCCGCCAAGTCTGCTTCCTCGTAGTTATCAGGGACCCTGGAGCACTTCAGACCCAGTCGCTGAGGCTTGACTGGGTTCTCTTAGGGTCTTTTCCATCCAGGACCAAACGACACATGGTGAAGGTTAAACAGCAAATCTTTAATGAACACAGCACACATATTTTAAACCCCCAACAACCTCATTTACATACAATAGGTTGATAAGAGCACTATAATACAAGTGCTGGGCACTGTGCACCCGTCCAGGATCGGCCCTGCTGCCTGACAATGCAAGTAGTCCCCCTGCAGCCAATCCAGCCCTTGCAGGCCATGTGATTGAGATGACATAATAATCACATAGCCACATTGACAGTCTAAAGGACTGCCTGCAGGGGGACTGCCGGAGTTGTCTAAGTAAAGCTGGAAATTCTTTTTAAAAACACGTCCAAATAATGTGTTTTTATATATATATATATATATATATATATAATATGTATATACTTTCAGTGGTGCAGAAGGAGAACTCTGTGTTGGATAAGAGGAGGGGAAATTTCATATATATATATATATATAGCAAAATCCAAATAGGTTATGGTGGGGAAAAATTGTAAATTGTGATGGAAGCTGTTTTGTTGTTAATGCAACTCATCAGCATGAGGTGTGCAGATTTTTGTTTAACATTGTATTAACTATCCACAGACTTCAGGTGGAAGGGGTTTTCAATCACAATTTTTCCTCACCCTAACCTTTTTGGATTTTGCTTCCCAAGCACTACCAAGCCTCAATAAGCAAACCAGTAACCAACCTCATGCTGATGAGTTGCATTAATAACGAAACAATTGTCCAAGAGTGGTTCACTGGTTTTGCATCTTTTCCTAAATTGTGTTCCAAGCAGTTGTATACTGCAAACACAGATTAAAAGGAATCCATGTTTAAAATGGAATGAGGCAAAAATGTGATTCTTTGTTAAACTAATTTGCATATGCTCACCCAGAATGCTTTGCGGTTGTAACATCACTGCAGACTTGGGATTTCTGTGTGAAAAGCAAGTCTTATGGCTTGACTGGTGTGCAGATTTTTGATTAACTATATATATATATATATATTATATATATATAAAAATAAACATGGTAGAGAAATAGCTGCACTCACGGTCTTCTATAAAATCCAGTCTTTATTCAGTTACATTTGAAATGAGGATCAACGTTTCAGTCCAGGACTTTCATCAGGATCAAAACAAGAAACATAGGCCTGTAGTTGTGGGAGGTACATTATTCCCTATTTAAACTCCGTAAGCCCCTGCTTACCTGTCGTCGACGTTCCCGGAAGTGCATCGGTTTACTTCCGGTTCACAGGACCCTATCATTATTTTCCCGCCCGCCGGCAGTCCGTCATTCAATCCTATCACTGCCTACCGAGTTCGTGAGTATAACTAAGTAGCAAGCATACGAACGGCTAATCCGTAAGTGATACTCGATCATTCGTACGTTTCCTATACTTGTCTTCAATCACACCTTCTGTAATCGTTCGTTTATTACTGCAATTCGTGAGGTCTGGCTTTCGTTTAACTATCAGTACCATTCGTGTAAATTAAGAAGTTAATTCACCTAAATATCTATACTGATTACTTACATACATAGTCTTCATTCGTTAAGTCGTGTAAATCTACGTTATTCCACATATACTTGCGTTTCACTATGTATACAGTAGTGGTTAAGTTTGTTTTATCAGCATGATTGTAATCCAATATATTGTATAGCAATTGATTTCAAACAAATAAGATGCTGTAATATCATACACGGACACATGCTATCCATACTCTTCCGTTTACCTTACATATGTCGCTACGATTCGTGCAATCAGGCATTTCGGGTTAAACGTTCATCTACTCATGATAATATCAGGTGTCCGTTCGCATTAATTCGTTTAGATAAACCTTTCATTTACATACAATAGCCAAGCATGAAACACTTCATACATCTTTTGTTAGTTTTATGCAAAACTCAGTTATGAAACTCTGTACGTACAAACTTTCGTTTCATGTGGTATAAACTGTCATTTTTGCAATGCTGGCATTTCACTCACACATTGCAGTAGAAGTTAAAACTCTGTTTAAATTAAGATTACGATTCAGTCATTTTCATTCATACTACGACTGTTCCATTCATTTAGGCTTATGTCAGTTATATGGCGGGTAGCCAGGTTGGTTTGGCTTATGTCGCCACCTTGTGGCTTTACAAGGTTGGTCGGTAAAATTATTTTAATACATGACAAACTGGCTTATTTTATTTATATATATATATATATATATATATATATATATATATATGGCCTCCCTTGTCTCTTCAGTAGCAACTATTAATAATAGGTTGGATAATCTAGAGTCAAATAATATTCCAACCGTATCAGAGCTTTCAGTGCCTGTTGCTCAGCCCGCACCTAACCTAGGAGGTAAAGATAACCCTCTACCAGCTAGTAGAGCTACCAATATTATAAATCCGATTCACCTCATTCCTCAGTCTCTGAGACGTGACATTATAGAGGGGAAGGACATAAACGTGGCTTCACTACTGATAGCATCTCAAGACGTTGTCGAGAACAGGGCTTATATCTTTGAGGATCTGTCAGTAGTTATGAAGTCTAGAGATCCTAGACTAAATAGGAAATATACTTACTTTTAAACATCCCAAAAAAGAGGTTTTAAATACATTTTTAGATACACAAAGAAAAGGTTTTTACTCATGTGGGAAATGTGCTGGATGTATAAATAGCAAGAATAGGTCAGTAAAGGGCATTAGTAAGTTTAAGTCCAAATATAAAACAGAGGAATTTTTAATTAAAGATTTTATTACTTGTTTTACTAAGAATATAATTTACCTCCTTTTATGCCCATGTGGATATCAATATGTGGGCAGGACCATTCGCCCGCTACACAAAAGAATAGACGAACACATTAATAATATTCGTAAGGGCTTTGACCAACATAGCATTTTGGCACATTTTAAAAAATGCCATAATAAGTACCCTAGTGGGTTATTGTTCCTGGGCATACAAGTAGTTAGGAAACCCTGGCGAGGGGGAGATTTTATTCAATATATAGGCAGAGAAAAGATGAAATGGGTTCACAGATTTGAGACCCTTGAACCAAAAGGCTTTAATATAGAATTTGATTTGCATAAGTTTTTCTAATTTTGTATCATTTTTTTTCTAATTTTGTATCATTTTTTATTTTTATCCTTCTGTATCACCCACGAATTAGTTTTACTAACGTTTTCCTCTTTTTTTTTTCCTATAAGTAGGCAATAAACTTTTACATTTGTTATATTTTTTATATATTGTTAGTATGTGTAATTGTATTTATTATGGTTTTATGGGTGAGATTCCTTTTTTATACATATATTCATATATATTAGGTTATGTATACATAAGACTAGTATATGGCATAATTTTAGATATTTCTATATTCTTTATATATTTATGTATAGATGGCTCTTACCCATATGTTTTTTATTATGACATGTATATTTTTGATTTTGGTGTATTATTGTAATGTTTATTTGTATATTAGATTGCTTTTTAATATTGGCAAAAACAACGTTTAGGTGATGTACCAAATAGACATGCAGACTTTTAATATATGCAATTGTATAAATGACTGATCTGAATTTTACATGACAGGAGGCTTCCTATTTTGCATATAACTCTCTTTACTAACTCCACATAGCAGAAAAGAAAAGTGAAAACGGTAACCAATCAAAATGCAATAGGATGTATAGTATTCACAGTGATGAGGCTCCTCCCCCTCTTTCTTTACTGCTCCATCAGCAGACAGGTCAGAGTTTACATCCTCTATATACCTGGGTGCGGCCCAGTGAAAAATCTCAATAATACCCTGTGGGTTACAGGTACTGCTGGTACCACGTGCACATTATCTGAACCTATTTTTACGCCCTACTGGGGTATTTTGGTACTGCCGGTACCACTGCACATATTTACTATACACCCTGCTGGGGTTGAACTGGTACTGCTGGTACCACCACTATACAGACTGACCCCTAGCCCAATCTGTGCTCTGTGCCAAGTGATATATTTGTGGTCACTATAACAACCATGGATCCATCCCAGAACACTACGGATTTCCAAACTTTGATCAATGAGGCTATTGCGGCCTCAATGGAGAAGGCACTCTCCAGGGTTCTGACGGCATCCGCCGAACAACACAAAAACCCCACCAAGGTCCAATATCAGGACTACGATTCCGAAGCTTCGGAATCACACACACAAGCCGATACCCGGCCCTCTAAACGCCACTGGAAGGGCGAAAAGGGGAACGTCAACCCCGACAAGGGCAAGAACCCTGTCAAACGACTTAAGCCAACCCCTTCCCCAAGACGCCATTACTCCTCGGACGAGGAAGGAAAACACTCTCCCCCCATGGCGATTTTGGACTCATGGCAGGCCGTGGATTCCGACTCCCCAGAGGAGAACGCCTGTGACTCGGAGGACGGTTCACGTACTGGTTTCCTGCAGGGCACCTTCATGGACGACATACAACTACCGGACGATCCGGCACATACGCAAGACGAAGGGGAAGCCATCCTGGATCCCTCGGGTCAACGTCTTTTCGACCCACGAAACATCCGACACCCACGTTCAGGGGACTGGACACCCCCTGAACACCTCGCGAAGTTCATGCACAAGTGGCTACGCAAGCCAATGGACAAGACGGTGCACAACCGCTGGCACAGGGGTGTCATTTGGTCAATTTCTGTCCTGAAAATGTAGCGACCCCTTCTACCAGTAACACTAATACTGGTTACCAGTCCAACACTACCCAGTGACGAATTAGGCAGGCTAATTGTTTTTCTGGGTACAGCACAAGTCTGCAATCATTTTAATATCGGGGGTTGTAGTTATAGTGCTTGTAGGCTTCTTCACGTGTGCTCACTGTGTTTAAGAGCTCATGCCAAAACAATGTGCCCCAACAGGTTGTACCCTAATAAATCTTCCACTCCAATAAACGTACCTAAGTTGCAACGCTACCTGTCTAATCATCCTTCTTTACATTTGGTGGAATTTCTCACGGCTGGTTTCACTAATGGGTTTCACACAGGGTTCGTGTCACTCCCCACAGGTATTTTGGAATGCCCCAACCTACAGTCAGCACTCACAGATCCAGACAGCATACAAGAACTCTTACAGAAAGAAATCACCAATGGTTTCATGATAGGTCCTTTCTCAACTCCTCCTTTCACTTCCTGGAGGACAAACCCTCTAGGAATCGCCACAGGGAAATGTAACAATAAAAAGAGACTGATTATTGACTTTTCTGCACCTCACTCATTCCCTAAACCTAGCCTAAATGCACTGATCCCGTCTGAAGATTTTTCCCTTCAGTACAACAGAATTGACGATGCCATACAAGCAATCATTAGTTCCGGGAAGGCGGCTTGGTTAAGTAAATCTGACATCACTAACGCCTTTAAATTACTTCCCATTCATCAGTCACTCTGGCATCTGCATGGAATTAAGTGGCAAGACAGCTACTATTTCGCTACTAGACTTACCTTCGGATCCAAAAGTAGCCCTAAGTTATTCGACATATTCGCCGAAACTTTAACCTGGCTCCTACTGAACTTTTGCAGATGTCCAGTAGTCATACACTACTTAGACGACTTCCTCACCATTGAACCACACCAATACACACCTCATAGCCTAAATCCCATGCTCACTCTGTTCAAAGATTTAGGAGTCCCTGTAGCCCAGGACAGAAGGTCCCAACACGGAGATTACTTTCCTGGGAATTACGCTCAATTCTGTCTCTATGCAGGCCAGCCTGCCTCAAGAGAAAGTAGACAGGATTTTGTCTTACAGAAAGATCTGCACGTCACAAGGCACTTGCACAAGGACACAGCTTCAGTCACTACTCGGTTCACTCAATTTTGCAATGAGAATAATTCCTCAGGGTAGGTCTTTCATTTCCAGAATCCTCTCACTGTTGCACGGTCTCCCCGACGACGATTCTACAACTCCCATAGACGAGTCAGCTAGAGCTGATCTACAAATGTGGCAGCTGTTCCTATCATCTTGGAATGGCAGGTCGCTATTTGTTCCACCCATTTCTGATGATTCCCCTGTAGTTTGGACCGATGCTTCAGGTGCCATAGGGTATGCAGCTATTTTCAGTGATGAATGGCTATACGACTCTTGGCCAGTTCAGACCACCTCGCTCGAAAATTTCAATACCACCTCAGCTCTATTTGAAATTTACCCTATAGTAGCAGCTGCACACGTCTGGGGTCAAAATTGGAGTGGTCAGATGCTTTTCTGATAACTTAGCAACTTGTAATATTGTTAACAAAGGCCAGGCCGCTCTCAGTCCCTCACGATTATGAACTTGATAAGGAGACTGACTTGGCTAGCGGCTAATCTACAATTCTGTATAACCTGTATTCACGTTCCGGGTGTTCAAAATACCGCTGCTGATGCTCTCTCATGCTTATATTTGCAGGAATTTTTCAGGCTTCATCCATCAGCGAACTCGCAACCCAGGGTACCTCCAAGCTTCACAGACCTAGTTATGCTGTAGGTTCTCTTACTACTATTACAACATAGTAGGCCACTCGCACAGGCAGGCCTGTCCCTTAATACAAGGAAAGCCTATTCCAGAGGGAACGAGTTGTTTAAAAAATGTATTTGTGATTATTGTATAATAAATGTAAAACTCTACTTAACGGGTATACAGCACTACATGTTGACCAACTATCCCAACAAAACTCCATTCCTAGCGTCCTACCCAGTTAAAAGTGTCCTCAAGGGTGTCTAGAGATTAACAGTACACAATCCTATTAAGAGACTTCCCATAGACAGTATGCTCTTCAAGAGTATCTCCGATGTAATCGACACGTCCCCTTTGGAACACACCACAAACCTAATTATCAAGTCCGCAGCTTACTTATCCTTCTATGGTTTCTTGAGACCCAAAGAATTTTCAGTGGAGAAAGCATCCGACACCAAGTCATGCCTCCAGAAGAAACACCTTGTTAAAAAACAGGACCACTACATCTTATCTATTACTCATACCAAAACAAGCCAAACAGGTCCTCCGGTAGAAATTAAATACTATCCTACCTCTACCAAATGGTGTCCTATCCTAGTTTTAGATAAACTAATGGTGTCACAAATCACTTCCAACCCTGATTACCCACTGTTAGCTATTCAAGGGAAACCCCTAACCACGAAACAATTTATGCTAATGTTTTTTTTAGTATTATTTCCTTACATCCTCGAAATGTGCCGTACAAAAATATAGCTAAATGTAAAGTGAAAAATAGACTCCCAGGTGATGTGCATGACCCGCTGCTGGGTCCTGGGCACATGGGTGCTCCACCCCTAAAAGTGGTGTCAAGTTCGTATATCCAAAATGCCTCCTTATTTATTTTACCACGGTCCTCTCCCCTCTTTGGAACAGGGATATGATCTATCCCAACAAATTTAAAAGATGATAATGGATGGTTTAGTTAAAGGAAGTGTTTTGCTGCCGGCTTGTTTGACGATACATCCCTACAGGCTAGTCTTGTTGGGATAGATCATATACCTGTTCCAAAGAGGGATGGAGAACGTGGTAAAATGCTTCTGTAGATTATGCTAGCTTTAGTGTACCTATAATCTTAATTTTATTAATGACAGGAGGCGAGTATTTGCTTAAGTCTCTCTTTGCTAGAACTCAGCAGCACAGAAAAACAACCAATCAGAAAAAAGTTAGGTACTATAAAACTCCCATCCCCATGCATCATTTCCTCTTTCAAGCTGCGACAAAACAGAATAAAAGGCAGAAAATATAATGGGGAAGAAACAAAGTCCTAGATACGATGAATACAACAATGTCCACCATCCGAGAAGAACTGTCAAACCAGATAACGTTGATGGACTGTAAACTGAAATGAGAGAAAAAACAGAATCGAACAGGTTGGTTAGCCAATGAAATGTACTCTGAATAAACATGTAGGTACCCAATGTAGCAACCAAAATTACCTTAATATGTAGATATCCCAACCCTACTTATGAAAACAGACATAAGAACAGGTGACAGGTAGCAGAGACAACAAGCAGAGTTGCATATGTACCGGATTAAGCCAAACTATTAAAACTAAACAAGGGAGGGATAAGAATGGGTGGGCAATACTCGCCTCCTGTCATTAATAAAATTAAGATTATAGGTACACTAAAGCTAGCATAATCTACAATTTTATAACATGACAGGAGGCTTCGTATTTGCTGTTTTAACGCTTAGTCAACAAATCCAACGCTGATTGTTTCGCTGGTATCTATTTCGGGAGATATTAGAGTAATCCTAAATGGACTTTTCAACCGCAATAAATGACAGTAGGCGGGTCGATGAAGATGCCAGCTGCCGAAGCATCCCAAATACTGAAAAAACACCATTCGTTGACAGATCCCTTGTACGTGGGTTGCGACCTGTTTCCTAGCAGCCGGTCCATGAGCTGCCAAGCTGACCAACTAGCCATTTTCCTGTAGTTATAAAATGTCGAAAGTCATTTGCGGACTAGGGCCGCGAGAAGAAATCACCACCATGTCTCAACTCTTGATGTGTAAGATGGCTCCTCCGATCGTGCCATGGTGGCCTTGCAGGTAGATCACCAATCTCTAGGAATGCGCCTAAGTCCACCACCAATTCCATAATAGAACCGAGTAGGATCTTTCATTCCTTCATCATCTACCCGGTTATTATGCAGGCAAGAGTGTGGTCAAACTAGCCATATCCTAAGTAATTCCAATATTCCAAATGGACTGTGTAATCCTCGGCTGCGGTAGAGAAAGGACTCCAAAAGGACATCCAATCAGGGTCCCAAACTGAACTTGTGTGGTGGCATGGTGGTCGACTATTATTGGGATATTGAATCTGGAAGTATTCAAAGGGATGGGAAACGTAAACCGGAGTTGAGATCTCAATCCAGATATGTCGTTGTCTAAGAGTGATAAGATGTACGGATCCGACGGTGATTGGGACCTGTATAACAACAAAGAGTCCTCACGTGCTGTATTGAGAGATTGAAATAATCCGATTACCGTAGTACGATCCTGTTCCATGCCCGATCTGTCGAAATTCATGTAGGGGTTCCTGATCTACACGCCACCTACAAGATATAATGTAGTGAGACCCCTAGGTCCAGGCATGTATCTCCCAGAGTAGGTCCTAGGTCAAGGGACCCAGAAATGTGAGTTCGATAACCGAAGTCAAGGTCTTCCTATAGATGGATATCTCCCTTCTTAGCCTGGAGTCCCACGAGCACATAGTGTTCTCTAATACGCAGGCAAGGCGTAAAGTCCCTTCGCACAAAACAGGTGACTCCAGAGAGCAGATATAACGAAAAAAACAAGGGTCTAGCTCCAATCGTTCGAATCATGTGTTGTCCCGTTTGGGAATGTCGGCAGCCCTATCTGAGTCTGCTACACATCCTGAGCAGTACTCCATGCGCGCGTGCGGGACCCAGGAGGACCGTCGGTAGCCTGAGGAAAACTGGAGACATTCTCCGCAATCCCCGAAAGCCCGGGAGGTTGGAGGAGGTCAAGTCAGGCTTCTCAACGACCCGAGCGATAGGACAATTGGAAGGCTCAAAAACCAAGAAACGACGAATAATGTAGATAACGGTAAATATGTACCTCGGAGAGAAGGCAAATAGCAGATCGGAACAGCAAGTCAAGTAAACCCAACTGAAAAGGTCAGGAGCTAATCGTGACGTAGGACTAACTACCCATACCTAAGACGGATACCGGGAAGGCAGCCAGATGGTTAGTTGCTAAAGGCAAGGCACCTGTGCTCCCCTGTTGGCGTCTGAG